AGAGCATCGTGTCCAGCAGCCTGCGCGGTCTCCTGGGATCTATCTGACTCAGTGAAGCTGCAAGCTTGTGTGCGAAAGCTTTTATTCGTTTGAACATTATTGTGAAGGCTTACTCAGCCTTGTAACAACTTCAGTCAGTATTACCAAGGCTGACTCCTCCTCAGAAAAATTAATGACTAGAAAAGAATAAAAACTCACAAACATAAACACTTTATTATTTAGAAAATATAAAATATAAAATACTTAAATATGAAATATTTATCCTACTTTAAAGAAAATGAAAAATAAAAAATATAAATGATATCTGAATTCAACGCTAATATATACAATTAAACTTGGGTGTCTGGTTGATGTTGACAGTCTTGTAGAGATTATAGCCGTTGTTGATGGTGTGTGTGGGGGGGTCACAGGTGTTGGTGACAACCCAACGGTCAGTTCTTCACAGAGTCTCTAGCCTTGAATAGTCAGTCCAGATGACAGGAACGCAGGTACTGTACCACTGCAAAGATGAGGGATTATGTCCTGCGGTGGCGTACAATTAATCAGGTAGGTAAAGAGTGACGTCTCGGGACGTTAGTCCGTCTCCTTCAACTTTCTCGTTCCTTGGCAGGTGACCCGATCTGTCATTCCAAGCTGGAGAGAGAGACAGGTTACCCACTGCTTAAGAAATCACTCTCCATGATAACTACAATACCTAAAAGACGTGGTGATTATCAAAACATCTAACATGGAGATCAAGGCTGAAAGGACTAAGTTTATTATTGGTCAAAAGTGAAGCTTTCAACCAATAAGTCCACTAGAATAGGAGCAGGCTTGTACTTACAGATGTGCTGGGAGCTGTGGAGTCGAGCCGGAGCCCCACACGTCACCTTTCGGGGTGGGGGGGAAGGGGATGATAGCGGGAGCTAGACTTACCCTACCTTAACAAGCAGCCGGCAATCAAACTATCGTTACCATATACTCGCTCGCTACTCCTATGTGTTGAACTTTTCTCTCACAATTATTGATGGCATTTCTTTTTCCTGTTGAAAAGAGTTTAGAAGTGGCATCACAACGGAGTATAACGTGGGCAAAAAAGCATATTCCCACTTTTAAATACACTAAGATTTTGTTTCATTCTCCTGATATCGTAGACAATGGTATCTTTAGAGCTCTTTAAAGTGACGGACATGAAAAATTGTCAAGAGATTCCTTGTTTGCAGAGTGAATCAAAAGAATATTGAGATCCGTGTCTTCTCCAACAATAACTGTAGGTATTGTATGCATATTACATCCAGGTTCCTCTTCTTTTTTAAATCTTTATTATGCAAAGAAAGATAAGCAGAGGGAATTTATACACTTGCAGAGTCCCTCACCTTACCTACCTACCTCATTAACAGGTGCAGTTTGTGTCTGCTGCCCCTCAAGTTTGTATATAAACATTGTCTCCAACATGCTCATTTTTGAGCGCAGATGGTGCAAATAATAAGTAAACACTGCGTATATTGACTGGTACGCAGGAATCAACTGAGTAAGTAAATAAACAAAGAATTACTGTTGCGAACTAAATACCAGTTTTAAAAGTAAATGAATGAGATGCTTACTCTCATGATCTCTACAAAGACAGAGTGTAGCTTGCGTTGCCAAGAATGTACACAGCTATCGCACCATTGTAAAGTCGAAATATCGTAAGTCGAACAGTCGTAAAGCGAGAAGCGCCTGTAGTTCACTTATTAGCTGAAGCTACACCTTGCTTGACGATAAGGACCTCAGAATCATCTTATGCTCTCTTAACAAGGCAACTTGCTGCCTGCATGTTGCTTATCAGAGAGATGTTTTATGAAGCTATGCTTGTTTTCAGGAATTGTCCAGAAATTGGTCTTTCTTTAGAACCGCAGTAGTTGAAGGCAAATACTGCACCATTGGTTCTCCTGCACCTTACGTACACCTTGTACGAGTCTGACTTTTAGTAGATGCATGTTCAAGAATCCATCAAACTCAATATTTGCCATGCAGTTTTTTCTTAGTACATACTGTACATACCTGGAGTTTACCTGGAGAGACTTCCGGGGGTCAACGCCCCCGCGACCCGGTTGTGACCAGGCCTCCTGGTGGATCAGAGCCTGATCAACCAGGCTGTTGCTGCTGGCGGCACGCAAACCAACGTACGAGCCACAGCCCGGCTGATCAGGAACCGACTTTAGGTGCTTGTCCAGTGCCAGCTTGAAGACTGCCAGGGGTCTGTTGGTAATCCCCCTTATGTATGCTGGGAGGCAGTTGAACAGTCTCGGGCCCCTGACACTTATTGTATGGTCTCTTAACGTGCTAGTGATACCCCTGCTTTTCATTGGGGGGATGTTGCATCGTCTGCCAAGTCTTTTGCTTTCGTAGTGAGTGATTTTCGTGTGCAAGTTCGGTACTAGTCCCTCTAGGATTTTCAAGGTGTATATAATCATGTATCTCTCCCGCCTGCGTTCCAGGGAATACAGGTTTAGGAACCTCAAGCGCTCCCAGTAATTGAGGTGTTTTATGTCCGTTATGCGCGCCGTGAAGGTTCTCTGTACATTTTCTATGTCAGCAATTTCACCTGCCTTGAAAGGTGCTGTTAGTGTGCAGCAATGTTCCAGCCTAGATAGAACAAGTGACCTGAAGAGTGTCATCATGGGCTTGGCCTCCCTAGTTTTGAAGGTTCTCATTATCCATCCTGTCATTTTTCTAGCAGATGCGATTGATACAATGTTATGGCCCTTGAAGGTGAAATCCTCCGACATGATCACTCCCAGGTCTTTGACGTTGGTGTTTCGCTCTATTTTGTGGCCAGAATTTGTTTTGTACTCTGATGAAGATTTAATTTCCTCGTGTTTACCATATCTGAGTAATTGAAATTTCTCATCGTTGAACTTCATATTGTTTTCTGCAGCCCACTGAAAGATTTGGTTGATGTCCGCCTGGAGCCTTGCAGTGTCTGCAATGGAAGACACTGTCATGCAGATTCGGGTGTCATCTGCAAAGGAAGACACGGTGCTGTGGCTGACATCCTTGTCTATGTCGGATATGAGGATGAGGAACAAGATGGGAGCGAGTACTGTGCCTTGTGGAACAGAGTTTTTCACCGTAGCTGCCTCGGACTTTACTCTGTTGACGACTACTCTCTGTGTTCTGTTAGTGAGGAAATTATAGATCCATCGACCGACTTTTCCTGTTATTCCTTTAGCACGCATTTTGTGCGCTATTACGCCATGGTCATACTTGTCGAAGGCTTTTGCAAAGTCTGTATATATTACATCTGCATTCTTTTTATCTTCTAGTGCATTTAGGACCTTGTCGTAGTGATCCAATAGTTGAGACAGACAGGAGCGACCTGTTCTAAACCCATGTTGCCCTGGGTTGTGTAACTGATGGGTTTCTAGATGGGTGGTGATCTTGCTTCTTAGGACCCTTTCAAAGATTTTTATGATATGGGATGTTGCATGAACGTCATCAAAACTTTATTTCTGACACCGTGGTAAACCATGTAGTACAGAAATACCGTCACTGGCAAAATATGTTTCACTAGACATTCATATTCATATCATCATATCATCACGTGAGCAATTCATTTCTGAAGAGTTCTGTCGATCTCCTGCACAGACAAGTGTCTGTGCAGAGACAACAGGCTCCGGAAAAAGAGTTCAGATTCTATGACGAATGAATCCTGTTTGCTTGAACAACATACACAGAAATGATAGGTTTCCCTTGCTTCTGAAAGTGAACTCGGTAACTGTCTTGGTAGTTATTTCATTCAGAATATTATTGTTAGAATCTTTCAACACTTCTCATCAGGATCGTTCAATTATTAGGTTTATCGACAAGCCTCCCCAAAATCTGCCACGCCTTGGAACAACATGAAACATACAATGTTAATACATTGAATACTTCAGGAGCAGTACCTCCGATTTCAGTGATCGGCTTCAAGTACAGTCGTACAGATGTGGCATACAGACTGTGACCAGTGGCACCATGAAAACGGTTGCATATCTTTAAGTACTACCGGGTGATACTGCCAGTTTACAGCTCGTTCTGCTTCATTGTAGTTTCTCAGAATCTCCAACATTCACATATACTGTAACACAATCCTACAGTCCTATAAGTTTTCATCTCATCTGTAAGATTGTTTTGCTTTGATATAATTAGATGGAAAACTTATGAGGGAAAAATCTTTAATAGAGATTTTTTCCAATTAGTTGGCCATCAAACTAGGAACGGGATTCCTTTAAGCAGTCACTATCTCCCTGTCTTGTGAATATAGTGCTTTCCATGCTAGACTTGTGTGAGCATAGAATACATGATCAGAGAGCCGTGCATGGCCCTTGTACTCGCATGTGCTTACGGCATTTCCAGCTCATAATATTTCAAGAATTTTCCCCAGTCCAGCGCCAGTCATTATAAATCCATTGCATTCTGGAAAGCTTACCTGAAAGTTTACGTTCTTTACGCGTCCTTTCGATCCCCAGTACACCTTTTTTTCAGCCACAAAAGACACACCACATCTTCACGAATGACGGCTTCACAGGAAAAGCATTTCTCTCTATTATTGACCATATGATCACTGAGTGGTGAGATTACCTGTAATACAGAAACAAAATTAATGACAGTGCACTAAATTAATCCACGAAAAGTATTTTATGCCATTTAACACATTACAAAAATATAACCATTAGCACAGATTAATTTATTCAAAATTACATAAAATATTGTTTTTAAACTGCGAAAAAAATGAACCTACAGCAATCTTTTATACCTCGTTGGAAAGATAGATTCAGTCAGAAAGACTTTTTTAATGGACCTAATTCAGGAATTTGTAAGATTAAAATTAGCAAAAAAGCAAATGTAAGATTTGTTCTCCAGGAGGCGGCTATAATGGTGAACGTATCGTCTTTCTCAGATTAATTCTTTTTCGGTAAGAAGGCGTTGAGAGAAACTATTACAATTTATTCTATTTTGGCTTAATTTTGCTAGTCTAATATACTGTCCTTCACCAGACGCTCCGGTGTGCGCAGAGGTAACTGGTGCAGGCGCCCGTGTCTACGCCACAGGTCTGGGCCAGTTCATCAACGTGTCGTGTGAGGTTCTGGCGTCGCCAGCCTCCGTCAAGTACTCTTGGGTGTTCAACAACTCCATCACCTCCCAGAGGCTCTCAGGAGAGCAGGTCCTGACCACTGCAGGTTTGTTCCTGGTACGACAGACACTGAGTCAGTTCACAGCTAACCCACGAGTCGGAACTAGGCAATGTTTTGCTCCCTGCTGAGTGGAAACCTCGTCTACATTCTATCTCAGATTTGTGGGTTAGTTGTGAATTGTTTTAGCCATGGTACTGTGAATTATTTCTCTTCGAAGTCTCAAATCTGCATACGTAATTACATATTTGTAATTGCCAATTTATAATAACATATTTGCAATTACCTTTTTATAATTACTTATTTGTAATTACCTATTTGCAATTGCTGATACAGTATCGCAATGTCTTTTGTCATTAACGAATTAAAATCATTTCACAACAAGAATAAAAAACACAATACCGTGGCTGAAACAATTCACACCTAGTTCACAAACTGCAGATGAAACCAAACGACGTTTCGATCCTTCCTGGATCAATATCAAGTCGCAACCAGTGGAAATCTGGCCTAAACGTCTCCTGGTTTCCACTGCTAAGTTGTGGGTTTCGTGTGAACTAATTTACCCTATAACATTCTTAAGCATAGCGATAGTTATTGCACCTGCAACGTCTTAGGTTCATCTTGATAGGTAATGCCTCTTGCAACCTTCCTCGTCACCACTAATTTCACAACTAAAAGTTAATTTTTCTTGAAATGACTCTCTAAAGTCTATTTTTGGAAAAATTTCCTTTGAATCTGTCTTTCATATTAGATATATGTTCTCCAGCTCCAGGCCCATCTTTTTTTTTAGTATATTGAGTGAAATAATTTACCGTATTTTGGTTTTATAATATTTACTAATGATGTGACTTATATGTTAATGAAAACAGCTTCGGTTCACAACACAAGGACCCGGGTTCAATGCTGGGGCGGGAGAAAATGTTAGGGCAGCTTCCCTTACACCTGTTGCCCTTGTTCGCCAGGCAGTAAATAGGTACCTGGGTAGGGGTACAGGTATGTAGACAAATAGGCACCTGGGTAAGGGCACACGTATGTAGAAAAATAGGTACCTGGGTAGTGGCACAGGTATGTAGACAAATAGGTATCTGAGTAGGGGCACAGGTATGTAGGCAAATAGGTCCCTGGGTAGGGGCACAGGTATGTAAACAAATAGGCACCTGGGCAGTGGCACAGGTATTTAGATAAATGATTCAGAGAACCGAAAAGCTGGTAAATTAGACACTTGTGCAACACTTGGTTATCTTTACTGTGAAACGTTCCGCCAACCAGTAACTTCCTCAGTTCAGTACAGAGAAGAATGGTTAAAGATCAGAAGGGTTTTGTGGTAATCAGTCCCTCAGCCTGGAGGTGATGTGATCAGTCCATTAATCCTAATAAGAATATAGCATATGCGAGGAGAAGCTTATATACTGCAGGCAGATGAGACGAAACAGTGACTTCTTCAATATTGAAGATTGAGACACTTATGCAACATATGGGAATCTTTATTCAGGAAACGTTTCGCCTGAATAAAGATTCCCATATGTTGCATAAGTGTCTCAATCTTCAACTTGTCGGTTTTTCAAACCATTCTTCAATATTGGACTGATGAAACTACTGTGTGGCGAAACGTTTCCACAGTAAAGATGCCCAAGTGTTGGGTATGTGAATAATTTTTCAACGGGCAAAGGTACTCACCCGTGTTTACTCACCGAGTTGTATTCATTGAGTTGTTTTTGCGAAGGTAGAGTTTCAGCTCCTGGTTCTTCCTCTTAAGCCACTATCTGGCATTATTTGTTGTTGGCATTATGAGTCATATCATACCTACTCTTGAAACTGTGTAATGGGTTTACCACTACCACTCTGTCATCTAGAAGATTCCATCAGTTTATCACCCTGAGACTGAAAAAGTATTTCCTAACATCCCTTTGGTTCCTATTTGTCTTTAGTTTCTATATACGGTCTGTCGCCCCAGTGACTCTCATTTCGAAAAGTCAGTTCCTATCCGCTCTGTCTAAACCTATGAGTATCTTTCGTATCACAGTCATATCCCCTCTAATCTTTTCTTCTAAAGTCGTGAGGTTCAGCTCATTGTGTCTCTTTTCACAATTCAGTCCCATCATCTCTGGGACTAGTCTAGTTACAAACCTTTGAACCTTTTCTGGTTTTCGTATATGCTGGGGCTGCATACTCCATGATGGGTCCAACATGTCATGTAGAGAGTCCTAAAAGACTTTAGGTTAGTGATATTAGCTATCCTCGCATTTGCTACAGATGCTATTCGATATATGAGCACCTCTGCCGATGTGTTGGGTGAAATGTTCACTCTAGCACCTTTCTCTTTGAGATATATCTGTAGTTCCTTGCCTCTCAAACTGTATTCCGTCTCTGGTCACCTCTCTTTCTATCTCTCTATCCCAAATTTTCATGACCTTGCACTTGCTAGGGTTAAATTCCAGTAACCACTTGTTTGTCCATTGTCGCAGTTTATCCAGCTGTACCTACAACCTCTCTCCCTCTATCCTCTTCAGTTCTTATTCTTATTAAGTTTACAACATTAGCAAACAATTGTATATACGAATCAGTTCCGGCTGGTAGGTCATTTAGGCATATAAAGAATAATAAAGGTCCTAGAACTGACCCTTAGGGAACCCCATTTGTTAGTTTCCCATCTTGAAACAACTGCTCCAATACTTCCCCTCTTTCTTATTTTCTTTAGGCGAGTTATTTGTATATTGTTCCAATCACGGTGACGTGCCTACTAATTCGATAGTTATCTTTTGAGCCATTGTAGGATTTCCTTGATCCTTGCATACTCAAATTTGTGAATCCATCTCTGGTGGGGTGCAATAACAAATGTTTTTCTACAGTCCAAGAATATTCAGTCAACTCATCCTTGTCTTTCTTGCTTGATTTCTATTATTCTGCGAGGCAAAACTTACCTTATCCAAATCTGTGCTCACTTTCTGTAAATAAAGTCTCACCTTTCTGTAAGTTCAACCACTCTTTTTCTGATTTTTCCCCAATACTTCTGACAGTATACGTGTCACTGATGCTGGCCGATGATTCAGTGTCTCTTGTCAGTCTCCTGCTTGTTTATATATAGTTTATATATAGTGGGGAGAAAGCAGAATGGGGGCACGTCACAAGTGGTGTTCCTCAGGGATCAGTGTTGGGCCCGTTGTTGTTCACAATTTACATAAACGACATAGATAAGGGAATAAATAGCGACATAAGCAAATTTGCTGATGACACCAAAATAGGCCGTCAGATTCATTCTAATGAGGACACTAGAGCACTCCAGGATGATTTGAATAGACTGATGCACTGGTCGGAGAAGTGGCAGATGCAGTTTAATATTGACAAATGCAAAGTTCTAAATGTTGGACAGTTAAATAACCATGCCACATATAAACTAAATAAACATATAAACTTAATACTACTGATTGTGAAAAGGATTTAGGAGTTCTGGTTAGCAGTAATTTAAAACCAAGACAACAGTGCATTAGTGTTCGCAATAAAGCTAATAGAATTCTTGGCTTCATATCTAGAAGTATAAATAATAGAAGTCCTCAGGTTGTTCTTCAACTCTATATATTCTTGGTTAGGCCTCATTTAGACTATGCTGCTCAGTTCTGGTCACCGTATTACAGAATGGATGTAAATGCTCTGGAAAACGTACAGAGGAGGATGACAAAGATGATCCCATGTATCAGAAATCTTCCCTATAAGGATAGACTGAGGGCTCTGAATCTGCACTCTCTCGAAAGGCGTAGAATTAGGGAGGATATGATCGAGGTGTATAAATAGAAAACAGGAATAAATAAAGAGGATGTAAATAGCGTGCTGAAAATTTCCAGCCAAGACAGGACTCGCAGCAATGGTTTCAAGTTGGAAAAATTCAGATTCAGAAAGGATATAGGAAAGCACTGGTTTGGTAATAGAGTTGTGGATGAGTGGAACAAACTTCCGAGTACAGTTATTCAGGCTAAAACGTTGTGTAGTTTTAAAAATAGGTTAGATAAATACATGAGTGGTGTGGTGTGGGTGGGTGTGAGTTGGACTTGACTAGCTTGTGCTGCTGGGTCTGGTGCAGTGCTCCATCCTTGAGTGGAGATGATCAGACTGGGTGGGTCATTGGGTTAATTCGGGGGGGGGGTCATTGGTCTAATGCGGGGGGGGGGACATGGACCTGCTCCGCATGGGTAAGTAGGCCTGTTGCAGTGTTCCTTCTTTCTTATGTTCTTATGTTCTTATGATCTCGCTTGCAGTTTTCCAGCAGCCCGGGACGCTTCACGTCTCCAGGAACGTGTTGTAGATCATTGCTACATGGTCACACAGTTCTTCCGCTCTTTCTTTCAGCATTCATGATAAGCCATGTTCCTTCTCCTTTCCGGTTCTTTCTCGGTTCACGTACACATGGCATGTAGCTAATATCTTAGTTTCCGTCTCATAGTCCTCTCTCAGGCTATTTCTCTCGCGATGGTCAGTTGGCCTGGGCGTATTTTGCCTCTCGAGCACTTTCCGATTCTTTGAAAATTGGCCACGTGCTGTACGTCGTCCTCTTCTTCTTCTTCTTCTTCTTCTTCTTCTTCTTCTTCTTCTTCTTCTTCTTCTTCTTCTTCCTCTATCAGTTTAGTCAAAGCTTTAATCTCTTGTTAATAAGACACCAATTTCTCATCGCTTGATGAATTAGACACTTGTGCAATACTTGAGTTGCACAAGTGTCTAACTCATCATCCTGTCAGTTCTTTGAACCATTACTCTACATTCTCTTCACTTGTTTTACCATAAGCCTCAAGAAGGCTATGGATTATATGTATGTGTGTGGTGTGTGTGTGTGTGTGTGTGGTGTGTGTGTTGTGTGTGTGTGTGTGTGTGTGTGTGTGTGTGTGTGTGTATGTGTGTGTGTGAGAGAGTGTACATGTGTACTTGTATCTCGTACCGTTATCAAGTCAGAATTGAACGAGAAATTAAAAAAAAAAAACAGAATACGGATTTAATTAAGAGGCTAGTAGAAATTTCTTTAACAGATCAGTTGAAGAAGTGAGGAGATATTCAGAAAACAGATCAGGTGAAAAGGGGAGTAGAATGTCAGGAAACAGGTGAGGTGAAGAGAGAGAGATTCGGAGGACTTGTCAGATGAAGCGGAAAGGTAAGTGTCAGAAGACAGGTTGAGCGAGGAACAGGTAAGAGAACTGTTGTGTATAGGGATCAGTCCAACAAGGCAGAGTCTGAGAAGGCTGAGAGAGGATATCGATAGTAATGTCAGAGTGTTAGGTTATAGGATGGTTATGATCCCTAAAGTAAAAATATCAACCCAGAGGACAGTTCTTGTGTTCTTTAATTGTGCTAAAAATAGAGTGGGCCGCTTTCCACAGTATATTGGAGAGGGATTGAAGAGCAGGAAATGAAATTAATACCTTTCTTAATACCTTTAATTAATACCTTTCTTAGATTTACTGTAGAGAATTTTTGCTCAGGGAATGAGTCATATACTGAACATAAGGAGCTGAAGCTCATTTTACATGTCTTACTTTTTTTTGTGCACCTAACTGTTAGGTCCATAAATATACACTATAGATTATTGTAGTAGGCCCTTTTTAATGGGGATGAACACGAAGGCATACATTTAGGGTACCTTTATTGAGGACCTATCGGTCTTGGGACCCTGGATGTTTCCAAATGTATGCAGTGATCAGGTACTGAAGTGATAATTAACAGATTAAAAAAAGTATGCATTCGTTTTTATTTCCCTCATTTGTCTACATTTACTACTCTACTCTCTCTCTCTCTCTCTCTCTCTCTCTCTCTCTCTCTCCTCTCTCCTCTTCTCTCTCTCTCTCTCTCTCCTCTCTCTCATACTTTATGAAGTAGGTGGAATACACACAGCGATACATAACAGTACCTATGATATACTAAAATGTGTCTAACTTTCGCTCTCCAGGAGAGCGATACGTTTCCACAATAAAAATGTCACAGTTGCATTTTGTCGGTAATTCTACCATTGTTACTCACTGTAAATAACTGCTTTAGACGTAAATATGGCACAAGTAAACTGCAAACCTGACGCCCCTCCACACCTGTCTCTCACTCTTCCCACCTCTCATACTCTACACCTGTAAGTTAACTTGCTGTACCGTACTTGCAGATGGGGGTAGCGTGGTACAGTTCGTGGCGAGGACCCACCAAGACTACGGTACGCTGCAGTGCTGGGCACAGAACGTAGTGGGTAGAATGACGGAACCTTGTCTGTTTCACGTTGTACCTGCAGGTGAGTCATTCCTAACCAGTGGGTGAGTGGAACTAGGTGAAAGCAGACAAGAAAGTGAATGACACAAGTATAATGACGTGCAGGTGACTGACCCTAATACTTGACCACCAGGAAGTCAAACTAGTACCTAACCACCAGGTGAGACACTAGTACGTGCCCTCTAGAACCTAACCACCAGGTGGCAGTAGTACGTGACCACCAAGTGAACCTAGTACCTGGCTTTTGATATTAACACTAGTACCTGACCACTAGGAGATACTAGTAGTTACTGACCACCTGGGGAATGACACTAGCACGTAACCACTAGAACCTAACCACTAGGTGACACTAGGATTTGATCACCAGGTATGTGAAACTAGTACCTGACTACGAGTGATACTAGTACTTGACCAAGAGGCAAGTGACATTAGTATCTGACCACGATGTGAATCACACTAATATCTGGCCGCTAGGTGAATCACACTAGTACCTGACCATTATGTGAATGGCATTAGTACCTGACCACCAGATGAATTACACTAGTATCTGACCACAAAGTGAATGACACTAGTACCTGACCACCAGGTGAATGACATTAGCACCTGACAACCAGGTGAATGACACTAGTACCCGACTACCAGGTGAATGACACTAGTACTTGACTACCAGGTGAATGACATTAGCACCTGACAACCAGGTGAATGATACTAGTACCTGACCACCAGGTAATTGACGCTAGTACCTGACTACCAGGTGAATGACACTAGACTGCCACAGGTGAATGACGTAGTACCTGGTACCAGTGTGAACGACACTAGAACCTGCCCACAGGTGAATGACACTAGTACCTGACCACCAGGTGATGACCTGTACTGACAAGGTGAAGAACTAGTACTGACACCAGTGAATAACACTAGTTACACAGGTGAATGACACTAGTACCTGACCACCAGGTGAATGACACTAGTACCTGACCACCAGGTGAATGACACTAGTACCTGACCACCAGGTGAAAACACTAGTACCTGACCACCAGGTGAATACACTAGTACTGACCACCAGGTGAATAACACTAGTACCTGACCACCAGTGAACAACATAGTACCTGACACATGATTAACACTAGTACTGACACAGTAACAACACTAGTACCTGACCACAAGGGAATAACACTAGTACTGACCACCATGGTGAATAACACTAGTACCTACCACCAGTGAACAACACTAGAACCTGACCACCAGGTGAACACTAGAAACCTTGACCACCAGGTGAGTAACACTAGTACCTGACTACAGGTGAACAACACTAGTACCTGACCACCAGGTGAATAACATTAGTACCTAACCACAGTGAATAACACTAGTACCTGACCACATGAACAACACTAGTACCTAACCACCAGGTGAACAACACTAGTATCTGACCACCAGGTGAACAACACTAGTACCTGACCACCAGGTGAATAACACTAGTACTTGACACCAATGAATAACACTAGTACCTGACCAAGGTGAATAACACTAGTACCTGACCACCAGGTGAATAACACTAGTACCTGACCACCAGGTGAATAACACTAGTACCTGACCACCAGGTGAACAACACTAGTACCTGACCACCAGGTGAATAACACTAGTACCTGACCACCAGGTGAACAACACTAGTACCTGACCACCAGGTGAATAACACTAGTACTTGACCACCAGATGAATAACACTAGTACCTGACCACCAGGTGAATAACACTAGTACCTGACCACCAGGTGAATAACACTAGTACCTGACCACCAGGTGAATAACACTAGTACCTGACCACAAGGTGAACAACACTAGTACCTGACCACCAGGTGAATAACACTAGTACCTGACCACCAGGTGAACAACACTAGTACCTGACCACCAGGTGAATAACACTAGTACCTGACCACCAGGTGAATAACACTAGTACCTGACCCCCAGGTGAATAACACTAGTACCTGACCACCAGGTGAATAACACTAGTACCTGACCACCAGGTGAACAACACTAGTACCTAACCACCAGGTGAATGCCGCAAAATTATCTTTCTTGTCTCCATATTAATTTTTTCAAAACAATGAGCTTCTGGCGATTATTATTTAAGAAAAAATTGCTTCATATCTAATTTCAAGCAATCAATATCTAATTTAACCTGCATCAATATCAATTTCAAAGCACATCAATATCTAATTCACAGGCATCAATATCTAATTTCAAGCACCATCAAATCTAATTTCAAAGCACCATCATATTATTTCAAGCAGCATCAATATCTAATTTCAAAGACACCACCAATATTTATTCAAAGCACATCATATCTAATTTCAAAGCGCATCAATATCAATTTCAAGCAGCTCATATCTATTTCAAAGCCATCAATTCTAATTTCAAAAGCAGCATCATATCTATTCATGGCAGCATCAATATCTAATTTCAAAGCAGCATCAATATCTAATTTTAAAGCACCATCAATATCTAATTTCAAAGCAGCATCAATATCTAATTTCAAAGCACCTTCAATATCTAATTTCAAAGCACCTTCAATATCTAATTTCAAAGCACCATCAATATCTAATTTCAAAGCACCATCAATATCTAATTTTAAAGCACCATCAATATTTAATTTCAAAACACCATCAATGTCTAATTTCAAAGCACCATCAATATCTAATTTCAAAGCACCATCAATATCTAATTTCAAAGCACCATCAATATCTAATTTCAAAGCACCTTCAATATCTAATTTCAAAGCACCATCAATATCTAATTTCAAAACACCATCAATATCTAATTTTAAAGCTCCATCAATATCTAATTTCAAAGCAACATCAATATCTAATCTCAAAGCACCATCAATATTTAATTTCAAAGCATCTTCAATATCTAATTTCAAAGCACCATCAATATCTAATTTCAAAGCACCCTCAATATTTAATTTCAAAGCACCATCAATATCTAATTTCAAAGCACCATCAATATCTAATTTCAAATCACCATCAATATCTAATTTCAAATCACCATCAATATCTAATTTCAAAGCACCATCAATATCTAATTTCAAAGCACCATCTGTTCACATTGAAAAGCATCAATTACGTCCTATTTAAAATTTCTCTCTAAATCTAAATGAAAAGAACCAGCTCATTTTGATTCATAATATTTGCAGATTTTAGTCAATGGCTAATTTATCTAGGCTACAGTAATGTCGTTCTGCTGACAGTAGTGTAGCAACACGTTGCTTCATGAAACCTCCGGCTAATAGTGATGTTTACTCAACAAAAGCATGTTTTGCAACACACACACGCGCAAGTTCTGCAATTAGGCATGTTCTGCAACAACAATATAATTTGCAACTATACCGTATTATATTGTTACTACATCATACTTTGCGATAAATGTTTGCTCTGTAGCAACAGCAGGTGATGCAACAAAAGCATACGCTGCAACAAAAACACGTTTTGCAACAAAAGCATATGTCGCAATAAAAGCATGTGCTGTAATAAAAGCATATGCCGCAACAAAAGCATGCGCCACAACGAAAGCATGCGCCACAACAAAAGTATGTGCAGCAACAAAAGCATGTGCTGCAACAAAAGCATGTGCTGCAACAAAAGCATGCGCTGCGACAAAAGCATGTGCTGCAACAAAAGCATGTGCTGCAACAAAAGCATGCGCTGCGACAAAAGCATGTGCTGCAACAAAAGCATGTGCTGCAACAAAAGCATGTGCTGCAACAAAAGCATGTGCTGCAACAAAAGCATGTGCTGCAACATAAGCATGTGCTGCAACAAAAGCATGTGCTGCAACAAAAGCATGTGCTGCAACATAAGCATGTGCTGCAACAAAATCATGTGCTGCAACAAAAGCATGTGCTGCAACATAAGCATGTGCTGCAACAAAATCATGTGCTGCAACAAAAGCATGTGCTTGCAACAAAAGCATGTGCTGCAACAAAAGCATGTGCTGCAACAAAAGCATGTGCTGCAACAAAAGCATGTGCTGCAACAAAAGCATGTGCTGCAACAAAAGCATGTGCTGCAACATAAGCATGTGCTGCAACAAAAGCATGTGCTGCAACATAAGCATGTGCTGCAACAAAATCATGTGCTGCAACAAAAGCATGTGCTGCAACATAAGCATGTGCTGCAACAAAATCATGTGCTGCAACAAAAGCATGTGCTGCAACAAAAGCATGTGCTGCAACAAAAGCATGTGCTGCAACAAAAGCATGTGCTGCAACAAAAGCATGTGCTGCAACAAAAGCATGTGCTGCAACAAAAGCATGTGCTGCAACATAAGCATGTGCTGCAACAAAAGCATGTGCTGCAACATAAGCATGTGCTGCAACAAAATCATGTGCTGCAACAAAAGCATGTGCTGCAACAAAAGCATGTGCTGCAACAAAAGCATGTGCTGCAACAAAAGCATGTGCTGCAACAAAAGCATGTGCTGCAACAAAAGCATGTGCTGCAACAAAAGCATGCAACGCAACCAAAAGCTTCTCCTACAATAAAAGTGTGTTCTTTTTTGCCTATTATATTTTTTTAATAAATTTCAAGTGGTCTGTGTGGTGGTGGTCTCTAACTTACTAATTCCTTCACTCTAGTGGAGATTTTTTACCCTCTGATTTAAGCAAGAATTGAAAACTAGTGTTTAGTACCAACATTAATCTCTCTCTCTCTCTCTCTCTCTCTCTCTCTCTCTCTCTCCTCCTCTCTCTCTTCTCTCTCTCTCTCTCTCTCTCTCTCTCTCTCTCTCTCTCTCTCTCTCTGGTGCTTTGAGGAAAACAACTCTACCTTGCATTAACAGTTTTCAGGGATTTTGTGCTGATAGGACATCAACACTTAAACTGTAACAACCACAACAACATCAACAACAGAAACAATAACATCCTTAACAACAGCAAACAACAACAACTTAATCAGCAACAACAATAACATCATCAACAACAATATAACAACAACAGTGACATGAGAAATGACTGGAACAGCAAACAACAAACAGCAATAATGTCATCAACAACAACAAACAACAACAATAACAACAACAGCAAACAACAACATACAACAGCAAACAATATATACAAATTTACGTATTGATGCAGGACGTCCGGAACGACCAGTGGGGTGTTCAGTCGTCAACAAAACCTACGACTCCCTGGTTGTCGCTTGCAAACCTGGCTTTGATGGTGGCCTCCAGCAGTCATTTGTTGCTAAGGTGAGAAAGAGATGGAGGAGGGAGGGATAAAAAGTAAGGAAAGTAGATGGATAGGAGGAGAAAGGATGGATTGAAGGGAGGGAGATATGAAGAGTAGGTGGGAGATTGGGTGGGTGGACTGAAGGAAACGTGGTACGGTTTCGTTATGTTAATAAACTTAACCCACTAGTACATTGCCCTAAGTTTAAAGTACACTGGGGAAACATAACAGCGAGCAACATCTACAATTTTGAGTGTACAGGAACCATATACCACCTTTGACAGGTAATTTGATGAAATTTACTTTTCCCCTGATTTAAATATAGAAATTACATTAGCCATCAACTTCCACATCTCCGGCACAACACCAATTTGGACTGGTGAGTTAAACAGACTAAGTTCCTATTTGCATTCTTTATGTACCCTTGAATAGAGTTCGTCGGCGCCCGGGGACTTATTTTGTCCTAGTTTGTCTAATTGTTTGATAATCAAATCCCTTGGACTGTAATAATTTGTTTTTAGTCAGGTCCTGAATAATTATTGGTAATTATTGAAAAAAAGTCATAGTTGCAGATCCCTTCATTATTCTAAGACTCTAAGTATAATCATCATCAATGGAATCGATAGCTAGAATTCCCAAGTCGAGACACGCCGGCAGATTGAAAATCGGGGACATTTACCGTATTATCCTTAATCACTTACTCCCAGGTAATATTCAAAGTATTAGGTTTGTGATCACTTGCACCAAGTACTTTGGTGATCTCTAGACTATTTACAAGGGTTTCCTTATTTGACAGGACTATGTCCAGCAAATTATTACTTATGGTAGGATCTGTTGCAAGAACACCTCAGTGGTGAGATGTTCTTTCTCATGTGAAAACATGCCTAGTGTGCTCTCCGTTCTTAGCTACCAGAGATTGTGAGGATGGCTTCCCGGACAATGAGCAGTTGTATCTTCAGCTTAAGGCAGAGTTAATGGAAGCGAGAAGAGAAATTCAAAAGTATGTGAACACCCCTGAATGCCGTTATCGAAAATAGCCACGTCGATGATCGGACCGACGACTGGATCCTAGTTGGAGCTAATGGGACGAATCTGAACCTGGGGAAGGTCTAGAAGACTGCTGTGGGGACCAGCAATTCTTTTCTTTGTTATCAGACGAATGTGAATAGACGATTCAGGACTTCCAATGAAGACCATTCCAAGGAAGACCAATGTTACCGTCATAATGAAACCCGCCAATGAAAGTAAGAGCAATAGACGGGGATAGTCAGAATAAGTTTATGGACAACATCATGAGAGGTAATTGGAGCATTCTTAATATGTCTCATTGATGAAGACAACGATATTGGCAGACACAGGAGTAAGGACCTGATTAGTAGGTACAGGTTAAGAGAGGAGTTCGAAATAATGGGTTGTTCTGGGCAATTGGTGTTAGTTGCTGGTTGAACGTGAACTGTAAGGACATCGCAGTGCCATTTATAGACAAATGGGACCTCTTCTATGGCAGAAATGACATGTATGCCAGGGGTGCGGATTATTTATCTAAGACAGGTGTGTGTACACTGGCCAGTGCAGTGAAGAGAACTGTTAGGGCTTAAACAAGAAATAGATTGTGGGTATGGATTTTTGTGGATAAGAGATGAATATGATGCTATAGAATTAGGCAGGATGAATTCTCAGGATAGCTATAATGTGTTTTAGGGAAATCAGTTATAGACAGAATGAGTTAGTTATTGGTGAATATTGGAAAGCCAGTGGCACTAGGTGATAAGGATAGTAATAGAGATAGTGAAGTAAAAGGAATGAGTAATGAGGGAAAAGAGAAGAGAGGGTTTCTAAAAATATATTTTGCAAATAGTCATAGAGCTACATACAAGATGTACAAGTTGAGATTAATTGGAAGTGCAGGTAATAGTGATGTAATTGCCATAATTGAGACGTGGTTTAATATGAAGAATCGGAATATGCCTACTGAATGTCACATTTAGGGTTTTAAGTTATTCAACATTGATAAAAAATAACAGAAATTGAGGTGGGGGTGGCACTATATGCCAGAGAACACTCAAATTGCTGCATAAAAGTGGGTATAAATACTGAAAGAACACATGCAGAGTCTGTCTGGGTAGAATTTTCAGAAGGGCATGAAAAATTAATTTTATGTGTGAGTTACCGTCCCTCGAACTAAGATAGGGACCACGGGAGACTACTTTGGGAAGAAGTTGTTAAGTTGTTAAGGCCACAAGCATCGATAACTTAGTAATTCTGACTAATATTGGTCAAATTAATTGGAATTCTTGAGTCAAACGATTTCTATGAGGTAGTTCAAGAATGTTATTTTGGAGCAGTTTGTGACAGAACCTCTCCTTCCTCTCCATCACCTCATCCACACACCTGTAACTCTCCCAAACAGGTTTTTGAGGAGGTAACAGGTCGGAGTCAGGTCAACGTGTCCTCCAAGTGGCCAACCTTCATCCTAGAAGGCTTGACCCCCGGCCTCGACTATATCATACAAGTGGTAGCGAGGAACGTCCTGGGAAGCTCTGATCCCGTCAACTGGAAGCTTTTACCTACAAGATGGCTGAGAACAGAATGCGTAAGTTTTAAGACGCTTGCGTTTGTTAGTTTATTGTTGTGGTTGCGTTGTTGTTGCTGTTTTGAAAACAATTTCCTGATGCTAGGAGGTAATATTCACTAGAATATTAGAATAGTATCTAATAAATTCATCACTGCTCATAGTGAAATAATAAAAATAATAATAATAATAATAATAATAATAATAATAATAATAATAATAATAATAATAATAATAATAATAATAATCTTATCTCCTAGGTGACGAGCAGTAGATGAGGGTGGTGAGGGAGGGCTCAGCACCAGGGTGGTGATGGTGGGCGTGGTGGTGATGGTGGTGGTGACACTGGTGGTAGTAGTGGCGGTGCGCTGCATGTGGAGGAGGAGAAATGACCACCAACACTCCGGCAGGAGCACCAGGGGCTACGCTCCTCCACACAAAACTGGAGGACGTCTATCAGGTAATGCGGAGAGGCGAACTGCGTGAGAGGGGAAAGTGAGAAAGATGTAAGAAAGTTAGATAATAAAAAAAGTGGGCGACAGAAAGATCGAGGAGAGTGACAGAAAGCAAGAAAATATTTTTTGACTTCGATGCCACTGCTGTTACCATTACGTTAGTGGGGAAATCTTTCCCCATTGGTAAAGGTTAAATTATTATTATAATGAAAACTAAACTCTAAACCCACCAGAGTCATACAACGCTGTAGGGTAGGGTGTGTGAACTATTTAATATGCTTGATCTGAAACTAGCAAGGTTGGGGAGTATAACTAAGGTAGAGTTTGCAAGGACTGTGACGATTGCTATGAAAAGTATAACCGAAGGTTGTGTAATAAATCTGTTGCTATCAAAAAGTCAAAGAGGGAGTCAGTGTCAAAGGTGGGGCCTTCAGCGAAGAGGTAAGATGAAGTAAGGGTGTTAGAGCGGTGACGACGTCGAAGGAAAATTCTGCGTGCTCGCTAATAGACAGGACAGTACAATAGAATATGGCAAACTGAAATTGGAACCTGACAATTCGCGAAGAGTGGACTGAGCGCCTCTCCTTGAGATACCCATGTGAGTATCTCATTGAGAGTAAGACGTGTGTACCCGACGCGAAGACGGAAAATGTAGTCTCTCAACCACGACATTGATGATAAGAAGATCAAGCTCCTAAACTCTGTTTGATAGAATGTAATGTGTTATGAATCAACACAGACTAACGTTGTTGCCAACGGCTGCGAAAGTAGCTAGAGATTACAGCAAAAAAGTCTGAGAATGGAAAACCTCCATATGAAACTGAAAGGTCAAATACTGCTGATTGCGCAGTCTGCCTGTTCGATGCCCTGAATATTCACATGACCAGAGACCCAACAGGAAACGATTTCTTTGTTTTTGCTAGAAATGCGGCGTAACCAACGTTGTATACGAAGAATTAGGGGTTGAGGAGAATTATTTTTTTTGATTACCTGCAAAGCATTAAAGAAATCTGAGACTACCACAAATATTGAGGTAGCCCTATCCAGGGCTACCTCAATATTCAATAGTGAAAATGCTAACTGAGTCTAATAAATGACCTCGCGCAACATTGTCCTGGAACTCTGCTGCAAACCCTACACCACAAGAGGATTTAGAACCATCAGTGTAAATGACAACAGCAAGAGAATGAGACCGGGAGTGTGCAAAAAAAAAAAAAGGAGCGAGAAGAAACTGTATGTATTTGAGCTGTCGCGCATGACAATGGGGCAGAACAGACTTGAACTGTAGAAGGATTGTGAAGGTCATGAAAGAGGACAAAAAAACGGAGGCAATGATCGTTCAAGGATGGAACATTCACCTCTGCATATAGGCTCTCGACAGGAAAGGAGCGACAAGCACCTAGACATGAACGTAATCCCTGATGATGGATGGGATCAAGTTTAGAAAGAGTTGCGGCAGAGGCCGCAGAATATACATGATCGTCATAGTCTAGTTTAGATAAAATTAGGGCTGAATGCAGCCGAAGAAGATTTTAAGGAGGTTCAGCTGGCTAGGGCAAGTTGCTTTCAGTGAGGTAAAGTGTGGTTTTCATGACAGTCGGCGATCAAACAAAAGCCCGAGAAATATGACCGGATCACGTTCAGGGATACGGGAGCCATACGGTTACAACAGAGTAACAGAGACAACAGAACGTCCGGTGAAATTAATTTGGTGCGTTTTAGCACCAGGTAAAGGTTAAATATTTACTGAAGTTTTAAATTAATTAATGAGTAAGTTGTGAGGTCTTTTAACCACAGCAGCTGCTAGCTGGACACTGTTGGACATTCTGTGATGAAAGTGACGGACAGACATGTTGTGACAGGAAAAAAGTAAAGCGGAAATCACTAACAATCTTCTTGCTGGCCTGACTCTCAAGTAAAGAAAATGAGAGAGGGAGAGAGAGAGAGAGAGAGAGAGAGAGAGAAGAGAAATGAAGTTAACGTGGGAAGTAAAATGAAAGAAAAACGATGAGAGAGGAAAAATTAGAGAAGGACTGTAAATAAGGGTTGAAAAGAAAGTGAAGACAGTAAAAAAAAATAAAGGAGAGAAGTATTAGCTCATCTACATTAATTTTTAAATTTTAGACACTAAGATATCTGCTAATTTTATTTTGTATTGAAAAAGCAAAGTTTTTTGTTGGGTGGCTAGTTGTGGTTAAAACTTGTCTATACAGACTCATTTAGGTTGAATGTCACCAGGTCACTACTTAAGGATACTTCATTCCCAGATTTCATTATAAAAACAGATTCAGCGAATATTCATTGAGATATATACCTCTTGATGTATGTATATTTGGTGTTTGTTTATTTAAAAATTATGTTGTTTATTTTTAAATTAAAGTACATGCTAAGGTTTTTATATATTTATTTAAAAAAAAAAATATAGAGGCTAAGGTGATGGTCTCACTCAGAGAAGACTCGCAGGAGATTACTGCGAATATCGTGGGCGGAGCTCACGCTTCCTCGCTGTAGCAAAACTTATGAAGTTCCACATCATGTAAACACAGCCAACGATTCCACCGTAAGTTACATTTTCCTCTGGAAGGAAAAGAAGTTTCGTTGTGGCACGTGGCACATAATTGCTTTGTGTCCAGCACTGCGGCCTGTTATGTTTTTCATGGTATATAATACTGACAGGTTGAAGAAAAAGACACGTATGGGCTTTATTATAGCAGGAAAGTTTTACCTTCATAATAGGCTTCTTCAGTCTCATACAGGTGAATACCGGAAACAGCAGAAATAGCTTTGAGGAGATCAGTCCGTAGGAGGTAGTCAGGCCCTCAAACCTGAAGCACAGACATACAGCCAGAAATTACATATTAAAAGAGTTGCTTCGCCACATTTCTGCTCTAGTATATGACGTCTGGCCGCAGGTCCATGCTTTAGGCTTGAAAGACTGACCACCTACCAGGGATGACGGACTGATAACGTCAAAATTACATCTGCTGTTTCCAGCGTTCGCCTGTTGTGCAGGCGAAACTTTTCGGCAATAAAGGTACCCAAGTGTTGCACAAGTGTCTTATTCTTCAACTGCGACTTACATTGGGTTAGAGGGGAAAAGTCTTGCTTAATCGCACTTGTTCCCCACAGTATCACACTGTACTAACTCGTTTCTATCAGCAGAGTATCACAGAAGACTGTAAATTAAAAGGAGTTTCTCCCTACTTACACATTCATCACAGCACTGATGCGCACGTAGAATAACATCGTAGTTACCATCCTGCAGAGCACCGCACAGCACTGCACAGCAAGCATAGGAGAATACTCATGTTTGTATTATGCACATAAGTATATTTATCCACTTTCATAACATACACAGTTCACTCTTCGTCCGGGTATTTTTCACTATATTTTAATTCGAGTGATTGTATAAATCTAGCCACTTCTAGTGGTTTTCTATTGAAAAAATCTTATGTTTTGTGTATTATCTCAGCGTCAGACATTTTATGATGTAGTTACAAGATATCACATGCTGGAAAGTGGCAGAGCTTTCCTGAACATATCTAAATGACCGTTCATGTTCTGCTGTTCCTCTTGAGAAGCAACGACCAATCTCAAGTAAATTAACATGCATGGTCAACACTGAAACTCCAGTTGTTTAACAAATACTTAACAACAATTGTGAGTTAGTTTATATGAAGTGAAAGAGACTGGTCGAAGTCTCGCAAAAAAAAAAGAATAACCGAACATGCACTTGATACACACTTGACACTGCTGCCCCTTTTTCAACATGGGAATCCTTGTAACCACTCAATAGAATAGGAAGGGGCTGACAAAATATACAAAAATGGGAGATGCCAAAAATGGGAAGCCACATTTATAGGTCAAACACTTCAATATTTTAAAAGAATTCCAAGATCACATTGAAGAAGTACTTACCAGTGTCCGATTTAATGAGAAAGACATCAACTACCTATCATGTCCTTTATCTCTTCGAAGATATTTCATATCCTCAAGTTCCGCCTCCTATATCGGCAACTAGGACTGAAACCCGGCCATCACTATAAAAAAAATGTTTTTTTTTTTTTTTTTTTTTTTTTGTACTTCTGAGGAGGATTCGAGGACGAGATCGAAATATACAAATCAAGCTTGAATTTTTAATCCTTTTTTATAATTTTTAAAACTGTTAATTCTCAGCTAAAAGAAAATATGAAATATTTTAACAAATTTATATTTACATTTACATTGATACTGAGATTGTATTTTTGACATTATTCTCAACAACTGCTAAACGAAATGCTTTAGATAATAAAATATAACATCGTGAACCTCTGGCTGCAGTTGGTTGGTTATGTTAGGTAAGATTCTCCAGGTAAGAGGACAAGTTTTTTCTTGCTGGGGTCTTAGTTACATGATGACCCGCCACTGGAACTTTTAGTCATATGACCGAGGCCTTTCACTGGCTTATCGGTTCAACCATAGTAACTTAATAATTATATAATTATATAATTATAAGCAATTCGTTATTTTAAACTCTTTTTATGTGGGCATCTTGTGCTATGACATTCAAGAACGCTATTTATTCTTTTTTAGAATTAAGCAATCCAAAAAGTAATTAAAATTATTCTTTGGTAATTCTTTAACTACTGGTAGCCGTTTTGGATATAGAAGCCCAATTTTACCTCTTCCATGTTCAGATGTCAACTATATTAACGAATAGTCGGTTTCAAAAGTAATATTTACAAACATTATCTCAGTCCACAGGAGGACTCGAACTTACAAACTCGACATTCGAATCCTGTTGTGGACCGAGAAATAAAGTTTATAAATAATTTCTCCAGTTTCGTAAATTATTAAAAGTAATATTATATATAATAATAATACATTCAGAAACTTCAAACCACAATACGTGAACTTAGATATACGTCATGTATTACCTTAAATAAACTAACTACACGTCCCATTTGAATCATAAGAACACATCCTGAACCTCAGTCTCCTTGTCTGTGCTAAGGCGCAAAACAGGTTAGATTTAGGGATTTTAGAGAGTCTTTATATTTGACCGTTCCAGTCAGAAATAATTGATAAAAATATCTGCTGTTGAGTCTTCCATGTGTAAGTTTGATGACATATTTGACTTCGCTTGCCCTACGGTCACTATCTTGAACACTATGCGTTTAATTGTCCATGTAATGAGGAATGTAGAGATAGTATGATAACCTACGTGAAGATATCTTACTAATGAAAACTAAGATACCAGATATATGAAGCAAATTTTCTAATTTTGCTTGTAAAAGATAAGTGAACTGTAGATATAAACCCAGATGTACTTCTCTTAACCCTTTTGGGGCCTAGTTTCCAGGCCTTTTGTGTATCCATATGCAATTGCGCTACCCTCCACAGGATGATATAGTGTGGAAAATAAACTTGCCATTTCGTTGGCAAAAATTCTAAAAATCTGTTCTTCGTCTAGTGTGTACATGTACTCAATACATGTCAGGAGACGAGTGAATTTATATTTTATATACAATTAAGATGTAACAAAAGTGCTAGTGTTTCACACTGTAATGGCGTTATCTGACACACCTGGGTTCAGTCCCAGACGAGTAGAAACACTGGGCATTCTTCCTTGAACCTACTGCCTTTGCTCACCTAGCAGTTCACCTATTTACAAACATAAGATGCATTCAGGACGGGATTAAAGGACTTCAGTGAAATTAAACCAGACGGTCTGACGACGTGGCCTTATTGGGTTTAATACTCCGAATATAATCTTCAATGATTAGTTTTAACTGTCCTGTTCGTAATAACGCTGATCAGGTTAGCGAGGAACTATATATACGTTTTTGAAAAAAAATGTAGTCAAAGGTTTTGAAAAGAAGTGTCATGAAACACATTATAAAAGAAAAGACCGCAAAACCTCGGACAGTTTCCCCAGAATAAAAAAAAAAAGGGAACATTTTATACCTTCAAACCTGATCCTGGGTGTAAAGGTTACTGTGAAAAAGCTTTGTTAACCTGGCTTTCATGTGGACTGTTATATATATATATATATATATATATATATATATATATATATATATATATATATATATATATATATATATATATATATATATATATATATATATATCACAACAACCACTGTGAAAAAATAGCGAAATTCCAAGAACTTTCGTGACATCTCACATTTTCAAGGAACTATAAGAAACGGAGCATCAACAGAAAGGCATATAAATGGGCAAGACTATACCTCACAATCACGTCACCACAACAAGATTACATCTCACAGTCGCGTGACAACACCTGACTCCGTGAAACACACCTGATACTCTGCCCAAGTATTAAGATTTCTTACTTGTCTAATGTATCATTAAACTCTTTCCAAATTTTATTAATTATAAATTAATCCAATTTATATATTAACAAAAGAAATATTTATATTATTTTCAAAACTGCTTTTTATGAAACGTGATTCAGTTATATTCCTGTCGACTATAAACTTGCTTAATACAACTTTCTCAATCTTTTGAAAATCAACTGGATGGTTATAATCTCTCACATGAATATATAGTGCATTAGAATCTTGTCCAGTTCTAATCCAATATTTATGTTTTAATCTTAGTTCGAGACTTTTACCAGTTTGACTGTAAAGTTTGCCCACACACACCTACATACACCTACACACATAGCTACAAACACCTACACGCACACACACACACACACTCACACACACACACACACACACA